AAAAAAAAAAAAAAAAAAAACCAAACTTTGAGTAATACATGCTTAACCTATACGTTTCACCTAACTGTTAAACGTTACGGGCTCTTCCACGAGAAAACCTGGGCCGTTTTGCTGTGATTTGCATGAAATGTTGTGCAAAATTTTAAAGATATAAATACTGAATATTCCTGGCAAGGAGAATAGGAGTCTGAAATCTTCTATGTGTTAACATATGCAGTTTGTTTGACGCTGTTGGCCCACCATGGAGAGGAACACAATCGAATTTTGACAATTAATGAAAGCACTGGAAGTACCATAAATGTGTACGTTGTAAAAACATTTAAGGGAAATGTTGGATTTATCAGTGTCAAAAATAGTGTTTACAAAAAAAAGATGGGCCGTTTTTTATGACCATAATCTGTGAAAGAAAGAGCGACAAACACACACACACACGCATGCATAATCACCTTTTTTTTTTGAAAAATTACATGGTATAACATGTATAGGAAATTCAAAAAAATCACAAAAAATGATGAATGAAGCGGAAAAAATCCCACACTGACCCCTGTTTTCTGGAACTTTCGGAAATTCCAATTCACCCCAGAACTGATCTTGCAACCACCGGGACATATGTTACCTATTTTACCCATAAACTACCCCAAAAACCAATCAAATTCTTCACTTGAAACTGTTCGGATGAGTATTTTTAACAAAAAAAACCCAAAAAAACTCCCATATTTTAAAAGATTGCGTTTTTTTTTTCTTTTTTTTTTTTTCAACTTAGAACTACTCAAACTCCGTTTCTATGCAAAAAAATTTGAATAATCTACTCAAACTCCGTTTCTATGCAAAAATTTTTGAATAATAACTTATCCATCATCATCATCAACATCACTACTGCTCTCAGACTAAATCAAGCAAGAGAAAACTATGACTGGGCACACTGTACGTTGTGTGTGCCACCAGTCATCTCTTCGTCTTCATCGTCATCCTGGTAGACTTCGCCCCGCTGTCCCCGGCCTTTCTTCTCGTAGCGATGCTCGTCGTAAGGCATTAGAGAAACTTCCTCAACATTCTCGCCTTGTGGCAATGGCCCTGTATGTGGACGACCACCTAATAATGCTTCCAGAGCCTGAAAAATCGAAAACAACACTTGATGGACCGAAACATTCCTATTCAGGTTTTTATTCCGATTTTTAACTTATTCACATTCCCTTTTATTTCCTTACTTTCAAATTCTTACTTTTTACATAAACACACATCATCTAAAATTAAAATTACATTAGAAAATTATCAACAAAATTCATTGATAGTTGGGAAAAATGCCGAAATACATTAAAGAGTAAAAAAGAGTAGCCAAGGCAGAGTTCAATACATTTAATCAATTAAAAACAATTGGCCAGCGTACCGACGAATGCCGATGAGAAGATGCGTTTTTTGCATAGTTTCCCGTAGGTTTTTGTCGCTAATGGCACCACGAGTTTTTCCGACAGGTGCTTCTAGCTGAATGAATTGAGACTGGCCGCCAGAACTGTTGGGGAACACCCTCTTAAAATTTCAGCTTTCTAGCTTTCCCAGCTCCCCACCAGTTTACCCAACAAAACTTTAACGACTCTGTACATGGGAACCGCGTGGGGAAGAATGCCTATTTTGGTGATGGGGGCCATACGTGCATTTAGATTAAGTTCCCAAAGTTTCAGCTTTGTAGATTTTGTAGGTGTCGAGATAAAAAACCAATACGGCCGGGACACGGACACACACACAACACGCACACACACACACGCACACATACACACACCCACACACACACATACATACACAAATACACACAGACAAAACCCTCGACAATGTGCGTTTTCACAATTGCATATATGCAAAAATGCCTAAAAACCCTGCAATTTATAAAAGTTTTCATGGACCGAAACACTTCTTTTCAGCCTTATTTTTCCTTTCTTATCTGTAAAAGACTTTTATAGATTTTTCAATCAATCACTTTCACCTCCTTTATTAGCTTTCTTTTCTGCAAAAAAAAATTTTTTTCTTTTTTCAACTAATCCATCATCTCTTCAGCTAATAAACCCAGTCTTCTTTCCAATGAGCAAATGGGGCGCGTGGGATTGCAAAAAAAGCGCAATTTTGGATAAAAAAACGTAAAATTAAGGACATGGAAACCCAAAAATGAGGTGCATATCCTCAGCAACAGGATAAATAATTTTTGGCACAATGCCAAATCGGCCAAAAAACATACCTTGTAATCATCTTCGTTGCTGAAGAAATGGTCTTGTGGAAATTCTATTTCGAATT